TGGGGGAAGGAGATTGCCACACTTTCCTCCTTACACATTTCTGGTTGTACTTGATCCTCTAACCTTTGGTCATTAGCTCTTTAACCATTTGCTCTAGCAGGGACTCCCCTGAAGTTTTGTTGCTGTTATCATCCAATCAGTTTTGACTCATAGTGACCCTGTGTAGGGTTTTTAAGGACGGCTGATGGTCTTAAACCATCCACCTTGTGATTAGCAGTCCAGTGTTTATCCTACAGTGTCACATCAGGACTACAAGTTTTAGAATTGAATTAATTGGCTTTATTCAACTCAGAGAAACTTCGGAATCTAAAAGTATATGAACAACATAGACTTGCTCTTCCCAATTAAAGATTTCCTCTACATATTATTTTTTAAAAAGAGAAATCTTTTGATTGAATTGTACTCTATTGACAGTACTGCAATTGCTGGCAGTAATTTAGAATTTGAAATATATTATTGTTAGGCCCAGTTAAGCTGTTGTCAGTAAAATACTAATTATAATGAAAATGCCATTACTACACATGCAAGTTTTGTCTACATTAACATAACTTTAAAGATCACAGGAGAAAAGCATTCCTTTTTGGGATCCTGAACTTTGCTCTTAATTTTCACTTGAGGGAAGAATTAGGAGAATTTAAATACATTATAAAATCTGACAGTGATACAGTCAGAAAAATATTAGCAATGAAAAGCCTTGTGGAATTGAGCTAACTTTGGTAACAGAAGATTGCTTATTAATTATCTTTGCATTCTTTTACTAATCATTTATTTTTTTTTAGAAGAAGAGGGCTTTCAGCATTCGGATCTTCAATCTGTTCTTGAACAGTCTGGTCAATTCAGACTCAGATACACCTGTTCCATCACACATTACTTAGGGATAAGGAGTGATAAGAGGGCACACCAGATTTTAAATACAATCAATAGCCAAAGAAAACAAAACAAACAAAAATCAAAACCAACACTCCTCCTCCACTTCCAAAACAAGCTGCAATAGGGTCTATTCATAACTATGGGACCCCTCTATGTGTCAGAATAGAATCGAACTCCATAGGGTTTGTGATAACTGAATTTTCAGAAGTACGACGATGAGCCAAAACTTTTCTGCATTCTGGCTACAGAATTTATTGTAATCAACTTTTAGGAAAGACAAATACAACATTTTTTGACATACTCTATTTGCTCTGGTAGCGTAGTGGTTACGAATTGGGCTGCAAACCTCAAGGTCAGCAGTTCAAAACTACCAGCTGTTCCGTGGGAGAAAGATGAGACTTTCTGCTCCCATTAAGATTTACAGCCTCGGAAACCCTGTACAGGGTCGCTATGAGTCCAAACTGACTCCACGGCACATAACCACACCACAACCACTTGCTTTTCAATATACTTTGTCCATTTGTCAACAAGCTTTTGTATTCCCTTTATCAGAGGTGAAGCCTCATCTTTGAAGGGCTGCTTTCAGGGGACCAAACAGGTGAAATTTCAATGGAGCAAGATCAGGATTATAGGTGTTTTTGTTGTTGTTGTTAAGTGCTGTCGAGTTGGTTTTGACCCATAGCGACCCTGTATAGGGTTTCTGAGGAGCAGTTCATGAGCTTGAACCGCCAACTTCGCAGTTCAAACAACTTTGCAATCTGGTGCATTAACCCACAGTGCCACACCAGGACTATAGGTAGGATGCGTTAATACTTCAAAATGAAGTTTATGTAGAGTATCAACAGTGTGGGCAGAGGTATGTGGATGTGTATTGTCATGTAATATCAAAATAGCAGTCCTCTGCTTTTAATTCCAAATTTAGGTCTCAGTTCTTCAATGAGCATTTCACTGTAACAGACACTGTTGATTGTTGAACCTTTTTCCTGATAGTGTTCCAATATTGGCCCTTGAGAGTCCCAGGAAACTTTCAGCATCAATTTTCCAGCTGATGGCTGACTTTTGAACTTTTTCTTGATCGGTGATTGAGGATGTTTCCAGTTCATATTTTGTCGTTTACGCTCAGGCTTATAGTGATGAATCGATTTTTCATCGCCAGTAACGATTTTTTTAAAAAAAGAAACTTTTACCTTTCTTTGAGTATTGATCCAAATTTTGTTTACAGATGTCCAAAAACTTCTGTTTATGCTCTTACGTGAGTTGTGTTGGTATCCATCTCTCACATAGTTTTCAAAAAACAAGCTTGTCCTGAATTATGTTATAGGCAGAGCCATGGCTAATTTGCAAAGGATTTGCCACATAGTGACCCTATGGTACAAGGCAGAACTGCTCCCTAGGGTTTCTGAGGCTGTAAATCCACTAAGGAAGCAGAAAGCCTCATCTTTCTCCAGTGGTGCAGTTGATGGGTTCGAACAGCTGATCTTGTGCTGAGGACTCACTTCACTACCAGAGCTCCCAAATTTTACTTATTGTCACTCGTCTATTCAACAGAATAACTTCACGTGCACACTCAATGCTGTCATCAGTTGTGGACGTGGGCAGGCATTTTCATATAACCACAGTGTGGATCATTTTTGATTCACCCTTGTGCATCTATTGTTGGTTTTAAGTGACTTTGAGTTGGTCCCGACTCATAGTTACCTTGTATAGGGTTTCTGAGGAGTGGCTGGTAGATTTGAATCCTTGGTTTTGTGGTTAGCAGTCCAGTGCTTATCCTACAGCGCCACACCATGTGCTTCTGTTGTTGTGTGCTGTTGAGTCAGTTCCAACTCATAACAACCCTGTATTGATTTTCCAAGGAGCAACTAGTGTGTTTGAACCACCTACCTTCATGTTGGCAGTCCAGTGCTTATCCTAGAGTGCCACAGCAGGTGCTTCTAGGTGGGCTCAAGCCTCTAACCTTGGCTTAGCAGCCCAGCACATTAACCTTTTGCACCATGCAGGATTCCAGTGTAATCTAAGTACTGTTTTATTTCACACAGCAGAGTACTTGTTTCACGCTTACCTAAAAGATGATTGACACCTAAGCAGGTGACATATGTCTGTAAATTTAAATGTCCCATTGCCATTAAGTTCATTCCCTCTCATAGTGACCCTATGGAAAGGCAGAACTGCTCCCTAGGGTTTCCGAGGCTGTAAATCCACTAAGGAAGCAGAAAGCCTCATCTTTCTCCAGTGGTGCAGTTGATGGGTTCGAACAGCTGATCTTGTGCTGAGGACTCACTTCACTACCAGAGCTCCCAAATTTTACTTATAAACTGTTTAAATGCATGGTGTTCCTAAATGGAAGGTTTTTCCAGTCCTTTTTTTTTTTTTTCATTTTAAAGATAATATTTCAGTGGAAGGACAGGCTAAGAATTACAGATTAAATTCTAAGTAAACGATTCAGAAGCTTTTATGGTTTTAAATATCATGTTGTTGTTGTTGTTAAGTGCCGTCGAGTCGGTTCCGACCCATAGCAACCCTGTACAGGGTTTCCGAGGGTGTAAATCTTTATGGGAGTAGAAAGCCTCATCTTTCTCCCGCGGAGCGGCTGGTAGTTTCGAACTGCTGACCTTAAGGGTCGCAGCCCGATTCGTAACCACTATGCTACCAGAGCTAGGAAGATGATAATGGAGAAGACAACCATATCTGTTTTTTGTTTGACCATACAATTCGAGTTGTATCTTTTATACTGAGCGACAGAGAGAATTTTAAATCCAGTAATGAACAATATTCCTTCTGATGAATGTTAGGGATTGAACTGTGTTCCTGAAAATACATCTTTACTAGACTAGATCATGATTCTAACCTCCATATTGTAATCTAATCTAATTATCTTTTCTTTTTTTTTTATTTATTGTGAACTGAGTGATAGTTTACATGAGAGAACACTGGCTTTACGCCATTGTTTCACTGCAATGATTACCGTGTCCCCTGTGCATCATCATTCAACAGTATTTGCTTTCATTCCCTGTTTTCCTTTCTTCCTTTTTTGGGGGTGGGGTGGGGATGGGGAGTGGTTCAGAAAAACACTCAGTAATATATAATAATTTAAACAACCAAAGGACAAGACACTCATATCTTAGGAATAAATATCTAACACATTTAACCCATCTGGAGTTGAGTTTTGTATTCCAGTTGCAAAGCTGTGGGTAGGTGTCATGTGGAATTCTAGCCCCAGTTCACTACAATTGAATGGCTACCTTTAGGCTTGATTGCAGCCGCTCAGATTACATAACAAAAGACTGGAAGCACAGCGTACACCCTATCAACAGCATATGGTGATTTGTTTTCTTTCTCTCTTAGAACCAGAGTGTTGAAGAACTTGTCAAAACAGCACACACTTCAACCCGACAGCAGATAGCACTTCCATGAAGTTGCGGATTCGCAGCATATTCACACTTTGTGATGAAGTTACAAAGCTCCCTACTCTTCAGGGAACTCCAGTCTCTGATGTTTATTTTATTTTATTTTTTTCTTTCCCCCAAGCAAAAGGGGCAGACCTCCCAGGGGAAAGACAGTGGACACAAGAAAGAAAGGGACAGCACATAGATAAAAATAACACAGAAAAAACATGCCTTGGAAACCCCAAAGTTAAGGAGGGACATGATGGGGAGAGATTCTTATCTGGACCCCCTGCTCTGAGGCTGGTTCCCATCAGCACATGGGACACAGAGCGGACTCCTACATCTGGCCGTGTAGGAGCTGGCAGCTTCTCTGGGTTTATGTTTCCTGCCTGCAACGCCTTTGGCCTGAGTCACTAAATTAAGCCATATTCCCACACTTGCTTAGAGTGGGAGTGAGGATAATATTCCCTCCAATGGGCTAAAATCTTCTTTTCACTAGAGAGTAGGTCATGGGCAAAGCAGAGATGGGAGGGCTGGGAGCAAAAGGCCGATTGTGTTGGTTGTGAGAAGCATTATCAACTGAAGGGAATTCCCACATTGCATACAAAACCTAAACTTTGGATGGTCTGTGGGTTGATTACTTATTTTAATCCCAAACAGGCTTCCTGACCACACAGCATACTTCTGGGTTCCCTCTCCAGGTTGGTTTATGTGCTGAGAAAGGGCAGACAGATTCAGCTCCCAGCATCGCTGAAACACAATCACTCAAGTTTATCTGTATGGTTTAAAAAAAAAAAAAATCATGTCATGTGTTCTGGTGAATTTGGAAACACTATTTTTATATATGAAGCTCTGGTGGTGCAATGGGTTACATTTTGGACTGCTAACTGCAAGGTGAGCAGTTTGAATCCATCAGCCAGTCTGAGGGAGAAAGAGGAGACTTTCTGCTCCCATAAAGATTTCCAGCGTCGGAAACCCTTATAGGGTAACTATGAGTTGGAATCGACTAGACAGCAGTAGATTTGATTTTGGTGTTGGTATTTTTATATGAAATTTCCTTCTCTTTTATTAAGAGCTGACTGCATTTTAAACATCTCCAATGTGTAAACAATACACTTAAATCTAGGGTGATTAGAAGGACTGGGGAACAAAAGGGATCCCTGAGCAGTATGAAAGGTTGGAGGTTTGAGCCCACCCAGAGACTCCTTGGAAGAAAGGTTTGGGCATTTAATTCTATAAAGTCGGCCAATGAAACCCTTATGACACACAGTTCTACTCTACACACAAGGGGTTAACATGAGTCTGAGCTGGTTCTATGACTGCTGACTGCATTGATGGGTTAAAATCTGGGAAAAGATTTTGGGTTCCTACCTAGTGCCACCTGTGAGTACCCCTGTAACCAGGCTCAGTTTGCCTGTCGATATTTTGGGGGAAAGCATGTGACCAACATAGTTCTTCTATGCTTATCTCAAATGCCTTTTTCAGCACCCCATTTTCTGACTTCTCCAGGATAGGGGGTTTGACTGATATCACACCTCCAATGATTTCAAGGTTTAAAGAAGAAAACAAAGAAGTAGTACTTCCTCTGGGAACTGGCAGGGACCCTGGAATTCAGTCAGGGGTGTAAGGAAGGACCTCCCCACCAGACCACACTCACCTTGCCCTTCCGCTTGCTGTCGTCTGTGATCATCTTCCAGTCGGAGCCATTGTTGCTGTATCCGATCTTGAACTTCCTCATGAACACCTTGTTCTCCCGGTGCTTCCCACCCTGAATGATGATGCCCCGAACGATCTTCTCCTCCCCCAGGTCCACTTGGAGCCACTCGTTTACATAGGGATGAGGTGCGGGAGGCAGTGCCCAGCCCGAGCGACTGGTGACGAGGCGAATATTTTCAGGCATCCAGTTTCTGTCTGCTTGGTTTGATGCTGTGATCTGAGAGTCGGAAATGAGTCCAGACACCATACCCAACATTCCGGAGCACGGATAATCTAAGGGATGGAACGAAATAGATCATGTGAAATGGTTTCCTGGAGACTACGGAAGAAAACATTGTCTGTACCCATTCACCCAATTAAGAAATATAATAATTGCTTGTATATTTTACATTCTGCAAGGTACAGCCTTCCCTCCTCCCATCTTTTCTCTCATCCTTTCAGGTGGCTCTCCCTGACTTACGTTCCAACAAAGAAAAGTTTTCAATACAACATACACCTCCACTTTTTGAGTTCTACATTTAAGCGCCAAACTGTTGAAATCCCATTCTCTTTGGTATCCAGAAATTTTCTCTAAGATAAACTATATACCCTGTCCAGCAGAATTTCATAGTTTATAGTAGATTGGAGATAAACAGATAAATAATTTCAAGACCAAGAGTCTGCTAAAACCCAAACTCAACCCTACGCAACCAACTGCCATAGACTCAATTCTAACTCATAGAGACCCTATAAACCAAAACTCACAGCCAGTACTGACTCACAAGGACCTCATAATACAGAACAGAACTGCCCCTCTTGGTTTGCAGGCTGTAAAGCTTTACAAGAACAGGCAGAGGTGAGTTTGAACTGCCGATTGTGTAATCATCGGTCTAATGCCTAGCTCACAGTGCCAGTGCCACCAGGGCTCCTAACAGAGAGTGTTCGAGCAAAAGGCAAAAAGAAAATGGTAAGGAGGTGAAGGAAAGAAAGGCTTGATGGTCTGCTTCTGAAAGATCACAGCTGCTGGAAACCCCAAGGGTCTGAGGTGTACTCTGACATACATGAGGTCATGACATCCAGTTACAGACTGGGCACTAGTAAGGAAGTAGGGAGAAGGAAAGTGGTAACTCTGCTTACAGAGACAAAGGTGTTTCTCAGAGAAGAGCTACTCTCCCCACCCCGATTTCTAATTGCATTAGAATCCTTCAACATGGCTATCCCAACATCCTCTCAAACATGCTCTGTGAAAATGGCAGTAATCCATTCCCCCTTGACAGTAATCCTTTATGTTGTTGTTAAGTGTTGTTGAATCAACTCTGCCCCATAATGACCCTGTATAGGGTTTCCGAGGAGCGGCTGGTGAGCTTGAACCGCTGACCTTGCCGTTCCAATCAACTTTGCAGTCCAGCGCATTAACCCACAGCGCCACACCAGGGCTCCTCAATCCTTTATGGAATCGTGTATTTAATCAACAGCATCACCAATCAGCAAGTCCCTTCATCTTGTCTTTCCAGGTGTTGTGTTTTCCATTCCCGTTTTGCTCCCAGATCCAGTCACACTTTTCTTCATAAAACAAGTTATCTTGGACTTTATGATGCAGCGTCCATGTCTTCTGGGCATCATCCTGGCCCATGCTCTCCTGGTCAGGGTCCCTGGGTGGCCTCCTAACCTTAATCTTGAACCTGTACTACACATAACTGTCAGAGGATTTTCTAAGAAGAGTCGGCTATGGCTTCTCAGGAAAAAGGAACTTTGGCGTGTGTAATGGTTGGTTAAGCACTAGGCTATTAATCAGAAGGTCAGCAGTTTGCACCCACTCCGTGGCTTGGGGGGAGAAAGACCAGGTAACCTGCTTCTGTAAAGATCGTTGCTGTTGTTAAACACCGACGAGCTGGTTCAGACTCATAGTGACCCCGTATAGGATTTTCAAGGCTTTCAATCTTTGCAGTAACAGAAACTCTCATCTTTTCCCCCTGGAGCAGTTGGTGGCCTTGAACTGCAGACCTTGTGGTTCATTGTTGTTAAGTGCCGCTGAGTTGATTCTGACCCGTAGTGACCCCTGTATAGGGTTTCCGAGGAGAGGCTGGTGAGCTTGATCCACCAACCTTGTGGATCAAACTGACTTTGCAGTCCAGTTCATTAACCCACAGCACCATACCAGGATTCTTTGTAGTTTAGAGTCAAGTCCTTATTCTACAGAACCACCACCTTCTCCTGTTAAGAACTGCAATGCAGAAAACCCGATAGGCAGTTCTACTATGAACATATGGGGACGCAATGAGTTGGAACAGATTTGATGGCAGCATCTAACAAAAACAACCTCTTAAGAATATAATAGCATGCACAGTCAGTACCAAGTCTTGGTGTAAGCACTGGGCTGCTAACCTCAAGGTCAGCAGTTCAAATCCACCAGTTGCTTCTTGGAAGCCTTATATGGAGTTGCTATGAGTCAGAACAGTCATACCACAGAGTTTAGCACTAAATTGTTCTCTAGATATTTTAACTGTGTCTGTCTTGTATGCATAGTTGAAGTATAAGTTTCAGAGCACAGTGAATATCACATATCTTTTAATATCTTTTACAGCAACCAATAGAATGCTGAGTATGAACAAGAGTATCAACCATTGATTACCTGATAGGCAAGTTAACAGAAATTCCAACATCTCAATGATTCTCCTTTCAGAATTGTACATTTCACTCAAGAGCAGACAGAAATGATAATTCTTTCAAACAGCTCAACTCTTCATCAATTAATTAAAGTTCAGCCTTAAAGCAGAACCATCCTAAGGGAGAGGCAGCTATCTAATACAATCACACTGTGTTCACATTAGCAAACCGAACCTTTAGAAATAATTTCGTAGACACACTCCATGTGAGTTGCGCAGTTCAGTTCATGTCCTCTCTGAACGCAAACTTTCAGTGTCTGCTTGTCTAGGAAGTCAGGCGTGTACTGTTCAACCAGGCATGCAAGGTCTTCTATGGCATGTCTCTTCTGTGTTTCCTCAAGTATCCCTTGTTGTTAGCGGCCATAAACTCAGCCCAATTTGTGGTGACCTCATGCTCAACAGGATCCGACTGTTGTGATCCACAGGGTTCTCACTGGCTGATTCTTCCCCCCAGTCTGGACACTCCACTGAAATCAGTTCAACATCGTAACTAAGCTTTCAAAGATTGAGGTTGGTTGCTTGCTAATGAGGCAAACTGTAGTCCCACATACTCACTCCCACAGTCACTTAGCTGATTCCCACTCAGAGCTGACCCTTTAGGACAGAACAGAACTGCTTCCCAGTGTTTCCGAGGCTACAACTCTTTACGAGAGCAGATAGTCTCATCTGTCTCACAACTCAGCAGCTGGTGGGTTTGAACTGCTGACCTTGTGGTTAGCAGCCTACATGTAAGAGGCTCCACCTCTTCCACACAGAAGGTGAGAATTCTAACAGGAATCCACCACCACCTTCTCCAGGTAGCCCTACACATGCCTTTTGCTACAGCCAACTGAGATGGATGCTCTCCTCACATCTGAAGGGGCTTTTTCTCATGCTGCTCCTTCCACATTTTGCTCTCTGTACTATCCAAACCTCTTAAAATCTTGGCCCATTTTTGAAATGCCACATTAATTATTCTCTCAAACTAGACAAGGTTTTCCTTTTCCTGAACTCTCCACAGCCCTTTATCTGCATTAGATTCAATTCCTTGGATGACTGTTATTTTCCCCATCCAGATATTAAGGGTTTTTGTTTTTGTTTTTCATGTCACATCCTTGTAAAGTACTTTTCATTCTGCTGATTGTTTGTATACAGTTGAACAGATGAGAAAAGAGATCAGAGAACGTCAACAACTTCAAGCTGTAACACAACTAATGTGGTAAAGCCCTGTTTTTAGTACTTTATTCTTTTTTTTTTTTAAATTGTGAATTGGGTATAAGTGTGCAGCACAGATCATCAGTCAGATTTTAAGCTTTAAAGGCATAAATCAAATTATATTTTTCTATTTACTGTGTATCTTTGTGCCATTTTATACATAACATTTTCTTGACAAATACTTGTTGAATGAAACAACTTATTAATACAATAAAAGGCAGATGTTCTTTTCTCAGGCACCCTTTCCTATAATTCAGCCCCAGTATTTGCTCCAGGCTGGGACCTGAAAACCCAAAATAAACTCAATGGCAATCAAAAAAAGATTTACAAAAGCGATTTTACTGAGGGACTATGAAACTCTAAGTGTCAGAAATAGAAGTCACATATTTGGTCACTGTGGTCACACCTGCCTGACTCAAAACTAGCTTTCATAAAGGCAATGTTTGGCTGGTAATGGGTACCAGATGTAACCATTTGGAGAAAAGTATAATGAACTTGAATGTGCCAGGGAGAGCAGAGCCTTTACCAAACTAATGTCCTTTTCCTAATGCAGAGTTGGCTGGGACAGCAAGGTGAACATCCACAGATCTAGTGATGCCCAGCCCCGTTCAGCCAGTAGAGCACAGTAAGGCAGCTAACCATTCCTTTCGTAGGTCTCCACACTCAAAGAAGCATGAAGAGATGCCAGCACTTGCTTTTTCCATTCATTCTTTCATTTTTTTCTCATTACTTGCTTTTTACTGAAAACGTGACTCATTTTTAACAATGATTAGGATAAAAAATTATATTCACAAATAACAGCTTGAATGACATACCAGTATAAAACTCTTACTCTTCCATAGTAGGCTGGCTCAGATGCAGCTTGACTACAGCCAGACCCTTTAGCAGTAAGGTTGCCAGATTTAGCAAAAACAACACGCATTACAGTCCAACCAAGAATAAAACAAAACAAAAATCTGGGTATCCAGCTAAATTTGAATTTCATATAAACAGTGAATATTTTTTAGTATAAATATTTTATGAATATAGCACAAGACATACGTACGCTAAAATTTATTCATTATTTCTCTGCATTAAATTTAGCTGGATAAATAAAACCCTGTACTTTAGGTGGCAACCCTGTATAAAGTTTCTAAGGCATGACTGATGTAGCAGTTAGCAGTCTAGTGCTTATCCTACAACACACTACACCAGGACTCCATGGCTTCTTCTAATTTTGTTCTCATTAAATCTCTAGGTGGTGATAAACCATCCAGTACCCTAGGATCACTATGTTACTAAAACATCATTTCCAAACTAAAAAAAAAAACAAAAAAAAAACCAAACAAAAAAACTGGTTAAAAACATAGTCATAAAAAAACTGGAGGAATCTGAGATTGTGGCCCTCGACCACCCTTCAGGTCTGGAAAGGAACATACCCTCCTTCAACCAAGC